TTGTGTTCCAGTGTTTGTTTGTGTTCCAGTGTTTGTTTGTGTTCCAGTGTTTGTTTGTGTTCCAGTGTTTGTTTGTGTTCCAGTGTTTGTTTGTGATCCAGTGTTTGTGTTCCAGTATTTGTGTTCCAGTGTTTGTTTGTGTTCCAGAGTTTGTTTGTGTTCCAGTGTTTGTTTGTGTTCCAGTGTTTGTTTGTGTTCCAGTGTTTGTTTGTGTTCCAGTGTTTGTGTTCCAGTGTTTGTTTGTGTTCCAGTGTTTGTTTGTGTTCCAGTGTTTGTTTGTGTTCCAGTGTTTGTTTGTGATCCAGTGTTTGTGTTCCAGTGTTTGTTTGTGTTCCAGTGTTTGTTTGTGTTCCAGTGTTTGTGTTCCAGTGTTTGTTTGTGTTCCAGTGTTTGTTTGTGTTCCAGTGTTTGTGTTCCAGTGTTTGTTTGTGTTCCAGTGTTTGTTTGTGTTCCAGTGTTTGTTTGTGATCCAGTGTTTGTGTTCCAGTGTTTGTTTGTGTTCCAGAGTTTGTTTGTGTTCCAGTGTTTGTGTTCCAGTGTTTGTTTGTGTTCCAGTGTTTGTTTGTGTTCCAGTGTTTGTGTTCCAGTGTTTGTTTGTGTTCCAGTGTTTGTTTGTGTTCCAGTGTTTGTGTTCCAGTGTTTGTTTGTGTTCCAGTGTTTGTTTGTGTTCCAGTGTTTGTGTTCCAGTGTTTGTTTGTGTTCCAGTGTTTGTTTGTGTTCCAGTGTTTGTTTGTGTTCCAGTGTTTGTGTTCCAGTGTTTGTGTTCCAGTGTTTGTTTGTGTTCCAGTGTTTGTGTTCCAGTGTTTGTTTGTGTTCCAGTGTTTGTGTTCCAGTGTTTGTTTGTGTTCCAGTGTTTGTTTGTGTTCCAGTGTTTGTGTTCCAGTGTTTGTTTGTGTTCCAGTGTTTGTTTGTGTTCCAGTGTTTGTTTGTGTTCCAGTGTTTGTTTGTGATCCAGTGTTTGTGTTCCAGTGTTTGTGTTCCAGTGTTTGTTTGTGTTCCAGTGTTTGTGTTCCAGTGTTTGTTTGTGTTCCAGTGTTTGTTTGTGTTCCAGTGTTTGTGTTCCAGTGTTTGTTTGTGCTCCAGTGTTTGTTTGTGTTCCAGTGTTTGTGTTCCAGTGTTTGTGTTCCAGTGTTTGTTTGTGTTCCAGTGTTTGTGTTCCAGTGTTTGTTTGTGTTCCAGTGTTTGTTTGTGTTCCAGTGTTTGTTTGTGTTCCAGTGTTTGTTTGTGATCCAGTGTTTGTGTTCCAGTGTTTGTGTTCCAGTGTTTGTTTGTGTTCCAGTGTTTGTGTTCCAGTGTTTGTTTGTGTTCCAGTGTTTGTGTTCCAGTGTTTGTTTGTGTTCCAGTGTTTGTGATCCAGTGTTTGTGTTCCAGTGTTTGTGTTCCAGTGTTTGTTTGTGTTCCAGTGTTTGTGTTCCAGTGTTTGTGTTCCAGTGTTTGTTTGTGTTCCAGTGTTTGTTTGTGTTCCAGTGTTTGTGTTCCAGTGTTTGTTTGTGTTCCAGTGTTTGTTTGTGTTCCAGTGTTTGTGTTCCAGTGTTTGTGTTCCAGTGTTTGTGTTCCAGTGTTTGTTTGTGTTCCAGTGTTTGTTTGTGTTCCAGTGTTTGTTTGTGTTCCAGTGTTTGTTTGTGATCCAGTGTTTGTTTGTGATCCAGTGTTTGTGTTCCAGTGTTTGTTTGTGTTCCAGTGTTTGTTTGTGTTCCAGTGTTTGTTTGTGTTCCAGTGTTTGTTTGTGTTCCAGTGTTTGTTTGTGATCCAGTGTTTGTGTTCCAGTGTTTGTGTTCCAGTGTTTGTTTGTGTTCCAGTGTTTGTTTGTGTTCCAGTGTTTGTTTGTGTTCCAGTGTTTGTGTTCCAGTGTTTGTTTGTGTTCCAGTGTTTGTTTGTGTTCCAGTGTTTGTTTGTGTTCCAGTGTTTGTGTTCCAGTGTTTGTTTGTGTTCCAGTGTTTGTTTGTGTTCCAGTGTTTGTTTGTGTTCCAGTGTTTGTTTGTGTTCCAGTGTTTGTTTGTGTTCCAGTGTTTGTTTGTGTTCCAGTGTTTGTTTGTGTTCCAGTGTTTGTGTTCCAGTGTTTGTTTGTGTTCCAGTGTTTGTTTGTGTTCCAGTGTTTGTGTTCCAGTGTTTGTTTGTGTTCCAGTGTTTGTTTGTGTTCCAGTGTTTGTGTTCCAGTGTTTGTGTTTCAATGTTGACGAGTGTGTTTGAGTGCACATGCGTGCCTGAGTGCAAATGCGTGCCCGAGTGCACATGCGTGCCGGAGTGCACATGCTTCCCCGAGTGCACATGCGTGCTTGAGTGCATATGAGTGCCTGAGTGCACATGCGTGCCCGAGTGCACATGCGTGCCCGAGTGCACATGCGTGTCCGAGTGCACATGCGTGCCCGAGTGCACATGCGTGTCCGAGTGCACACATGCGTGTCCGAGTGCACACGCGTGCCCGAGTACACATGCGAGCCCGAGTGCACATGCGTGCCCGAGTGCACATGAGTACCTGAGTGCACATGCGTGCCTGAGTGCACATGCGTGCCTGAGTGCACATGCGTGCTTGAGTGCACATGCTTCCCCGAGTGCACATGCGTGCTTGAGTGCACATGCGTGCCCGAGTGTACATGCGTGCCCGAGTGCACATGCGTGCCCGAGTGCACATGCGTGCCCGAGTGCACATGCGTGCCCGAGTGCACATGCGTGCCCGAGTGCACATGCGTGCCCGAGTGCACATGCGTGCCTGAGTGCACATGCATGCCCGAGTGCACATGCGTGCCCGAGTGCACATGCGTGCCCGAGTGCACATGCGTGTTCAGTCGCAGGCAATAGAGCCCACACAACAGCCTCCTCCGCCACTCTGTCGTATACGAGAAAAAATTTTTGCCCCGGTATTAAAAAAAATACTTGTTCCCAATTTACTAATTGGCGAAGCACAGTAAGAATAGTTGTTTTGTTTAACCAACTTTGTATGCGAGTGACTGTGTGAGTGGGAGGGTTGAGCTTCAGCTCCCAAACATGGGGGAGCCGGTCGGCCGAGCGGACAGCACGCTGGACTTGTGATCCTGTGGTCCTGGGTTCGATCCCAGGCGCCGGCGAGAAACAATGGGCAGAGTTTCTTTCACCCTATGCCCCTGTTACCTAGCAGTAAAATAGGTACCTGGGTGTTAGTCAGCTGTCACGGGCTGCTTCCTGGGGGTGGTGGAGGCCTGGTCGAGGACCGGGCCGCGGGGACACTAAAGCCCCAAAATCATCTCAAGATAATCTCAAGATTAACTTGCCTACAGTTTTCTGAACTCGTGTATGTGGGCTCAGGATGGAGAAAAACACGAAACGTTGGTTAAACGTTCATTTTTCGTCATAGAAACGATAAATAATAACGTTGAGGGGGGGGATGCGTTACGTGTTGGGCTCCATCTTGTCTATTATTGAAGCTCTGTATAGAGCCTGCCTCAACCAACTTAATTTCTTAGTTCATTACATTTAGTTATTAATATAATTCATATTTATGTTTCTATGGATGAGTTCATGAGAAGTTTCCACCAGCATTCCCTCTCGTCTGAGTAGCCATCAGGTCAACTGTTTTGTTCTTGTGAGCCCCGGTTAATTTCGCCCAAAGTATTTTGTATGTGGTGAACACGTCCTCTCGTGTTTCCTCTCTCTCTCTCTCTCTCTCTCTCTCTCTCTCTCTCTCTCTCTCTCTCTCTCTCTCTCTCTCTCTTCCAGTGACGTGAGGTTTAACATCTGTAGCCTTTCCTTGCAGCTCATACCTCTCGGCTCTGGAACTAGTTTGCTGGAATATATCTTTAGACTTTCTTGAGCTCCGTTTGGTGTGTGGGTAAATGCTCCACGCTGTCGTATAGCAACAGAGCAGGACACTACCTGGACAAGAAAGAACACCACCAGGCTCTCCCCTACTCCGGTCATCCCAGGTCACCCCACGTCACCCCAGGTCATCCCAGGTCACCGCAGAACACCTTGGGCAACCACATGACATCTGTGGTTGCCCGGTGTCAGAGTAGTTAACAGATGGAATGCACTAGGCAGTGACGTGGTGGAGGCTGACTCCATACACAGTTTCGAATGTAGATATGATAGAGCCCAGTAGGCTCAGGAACCTGTACACCAGTTGATTGACAGTTTAGAGGCGGGAGCAAAGAGCCAGAGCTCAACCCCCGCAAGCACAACTAGGCAAGCACAGGTTACCCCAGAACACCGTAGGTTAGCAGAGAACACCCCAGGCCTCCACAGGAAGCCACAGAACACCCCAGACCTCCACAGGAAACCACAGAACACCCCAAACCTCCACAGGAAACCACAGAACACCCCAGACCTCCACAGAGCACCCCAGACCTCCACAGAACACCCCAGACCTCTACAGAACACCCCAGACCTCCACAGAACACCCCAGACCTCCACAGAACAACCCAGACCTCCACAGAACACCCAAGACCTCCACAGAACACCCCAGACCTCCACAGGCCACCACAGAACACCCCAGACCTCCACAGGCCACCACAGAACACCCCAGACCTCCACAGGAAGCCACAGAACATCCCAGACCTCCACAGGAAGCCACAGAACACCCCAGACCTCCACAGGAAGCCACAGAACACCCCAGACCTCCACAGGAAGCCACAGAACACCCCAGACCTCCACAGGAAGCCACAGAACACCCCAGACCTCCACAGGAAGCCACAGAACACCCCAGACCTCCACAGGAAGCCACAGAACACCCCAGACCTCCACAGGAAGCCACAGAACACTCCAAGCCTCCACAGGAAACCACAGAACACCCCAAACCTCCACAGAACACCCCAGAGAAGAAAGGCGTGAACGGATATAAGTCTCCAGGGAGTTACATCATCCGTATATTCAAAGTTCAACGCTCAAGAACGGCAGTTAAGCGAGACGTTCTTCAACACCTAAAGTGTCCTCTTATCAGTCGGGATGTACAGGAATTCCCCGAGTCACGTAAACACGCTAAACCTTTATCCCAGCTTAACATGAACATTCTAAACATTTATCTAAGCTTATCTGGCACTATCAGGAACCTCGCATGACTCAAAAATTCTTGCGCGAGGGGAATCTGAAAGTTTTATTACGTGGAAATTTGTAGTTGCTGAAGTGTGTAAAGATTCCTGAGCGTTGTTGAGGGCATGAAGAGCCAGGGCGGCCCTGGGCATGTGGGCGGCCCTGGGCATGTGGGCGGCCCTGGGCATGTGGGCGGCGCCTGGGTGGGTGTGGAGGCAGGGACCCAAGAAGTGGGCCCAGGACGAAGGGTTCCCAAGGGGTGGGTCCAGGACGAAAGGACCCCAAGGGGGTGGGCCCAGGACGAAGGGACCCCAAAGGGGTGGGCCCAGGACGAAAGGACCCCAAGGGGGTGGGCCCAGGACGAAGGGACCCCAAAGGGGTGGGCCCAGGACGAAGGGACCCCAAAGGGGTGGGCCCAGAACGAAAGGACCCCAAGGGGGTGGGCCCAGGACGATTATCTCTAATGGGAGAGCAGACGTGACTAAAACTGGAATACCAACAAAAAAAAAGTAAATTTCACTAGTGAACAAATCCACAAGGGCCGTGATGAGGGTTCGAACCTACCCACGGGATATTCCCTTAGTCAACAGTGCCACCACATGGTCAAAAGAATTGCAACCGGGAGTGCTACTATCCTCACGAGGATCCCGAATCTTCTCCGAAGTTCAATCGGGGTTTCACACAATTCCCCTCAATCACCCGAGCTCTGTCAACCAGATACGCAGCCCAAGTACCCACACACCACACAGCTTGAGAGAGCAGCCCAAGTACCCACACTCACACAGCTTGAGAGAGCAGCCCAAGTACCCACACACCACACAGCTTGAGAGAGCAGCCCAAGTACCCACACACCACAAACCATGAGAGAGCAACCCAAGTACCCACACACCACACAGCTTGAGAGAGCAGCCCAAGTGCCCACACATCACAGCTTGAGAGAGCAGCCCAAGTACTCCCAGCCCTGAGAGTCCCAGAGCCGGGACAGGTGTCCCAGAGCCCGGGAACAGGTGTCCCAGAGCCCGGGAACAGGTGTCCCAGAGCCCGGAACAGGTATCCCCCAGGTCCCAGGTACAGGCTGCCTGGGAAGCACACCATTCTTCGCACCCATACATCACAGGACTTACAAGCCCGCGTCGCAGGCTGCTTCACACTCCGTCTCTTTCTCAGCTCTGATTTACAGCCCGTTTACAGCGATTTACGCAGCGGGCGTGTCCAGCGTCAAGGATTTATCATGAGGGCGTGAGCCAAGGTGCGCGGGGGAGTGTGCTTCTTACTGCGGCGGGGTCCAGGAGCTACGACCTCGCCGTTGTTGGCCTATTGTCCTTCTTGTCGCCAGCTCTCCCGACCTGCAGCTTCAACAGCTTCATTACAGCAGCTGATGGATACATAAAGAGCATCTCTACTACCCTCTTCTTCACCTGCTGAGCCGGGGTGGATAGGCTTGGATAGCATACTGGGATTCGTAACGTTAGGCAAGACAGGATAGCTTGGGTCAGGATGGGATAAGGTGTACACCGGGTCAGGATGGGATAAGATGTACACCGGGTCAGGATGGGATAAGATGTACACCGGGTTAGGATGGGATATGTTTGGATAGGTCAGGCAAGATAGGGTATAAGGTTAGGATTAAATAGGATAAGATGGGTCAGGATAGGTTTGGACAGAATGCTTGTCCCGAGTCACTTTGTACTCGAGAGTGAAATGTTCTCTGTTTATTTTGGAGTACGTGAGCAGTCCATCTCCCTAACATGGAAGTACTTATAGTACTCTAACATGGGAGTACTTATAGTACTCTAACATGGGAGTACTTATAGTATCCTAACATGGGAGTACTTATAGTACTCTAACATGGGAGTACTTATAGTACTCTAACATGGGAGTACTTATAGTACCCTAACATGGGAGTACTTATAGTACTCTAACATGGGAGTACTTATAGTACTCTAACATGGGAGTACTTATAGTACTCTAACATGGGAGTACTTATAGTATCCTAACATAGGAGTACTTATAGTACTCTAACATGGAAGTACTTATAGTACTCTAACATGGGAGTACTTATAGTACCCTAACATGGGAGTACTTATAGTACCCCTAACATGGGAGTACTTACAGTACCCTAACATGGGAGTACTTACAGTACCCTAACATGGGAGTACTTACAGTACTCTAACATGGGAGTACTTATAGTACCCTAACATGGGAGTACTTACAGTTCCCTAACATGGGAGTACTTACAGTACCTACTCATCTTGTGAGTGGACACACCGCCATAGTGACAGTATTGGGCAGCGCCACTCATCCTGTGAGTGGACACACCGCCATAGTGACAGTATTGGGCAGCGCCACTCATCCTGTGAGTGGACACACCGCCATAGTGACAGTATTGGGCAGCGCCACTCATCCTGTGAGTGGACACACCGCCATAGTGACAGTATTGGGCAGCGTCACTCATCCTGTGAGTGGACACACCACCATAGTGACAGTATTGGGCAGCGTCACTCATCCTGTGAGTGGACACACCGCCATAGTGACAGTATTGGGCAGCGCCACTCATCCTGTGAGTGGACACACCGCCATAGTGACAGTATTGGGCAGCGCCACTCATCCTGTGAGTGGACACACCGCCATAGTGACAGTATTGGGCAGCGCCACTCATCCTGTGAGTGGACACACCGCCATAGTGACAGTATTGGGCAGCGCCACTCATCCTGTGAGTGGACACACCGCCATAGTGACAGCATTGGGCAGTGCCACTCATCCTGTGAGTGGACACACCACCATAGTGACAGTATTGGGCAGCGCCACTCATCCTGTGAATGGACACCGCCATAGTAACAGTATTGGGCAGCGAAACTCATCCTGTGAGTGGACACACCGCCATAGTGACAGTATTGGGCAGCGCCACTCATCCTGTGAGTGGACACACCGCCATAGTGACAGTATTGGGCAGCGCCACTCATCCTGTGAGTGGACACACCGCCATAGTGACAGTATTGGGCAGCGCCACTCATCCTGTGAGTGGACACACCGCCATAGTGACAGTATTGGGCAGCGCCACTCATCCTGTGAGTGGACACACCGCCATAGTGACAGTATTGGGCAGCGCCACTCATCCTGTGAGTGGACACACCGCCATAGCAGCATGTACAACACTCCCCAATAGGAAGAAAACCCGCTGGGTTGTTCATCCTGTCACTTGTACCCAGACACAGCTGGGACTTGCTTAACTGTCTCAAGTGAACAGCTCTTCAAACAAGAAGATTAACATCTATCAACCCTTAAAATCTTACGTTATCTTGCGGGTGCAAAATGGGGGAATTTTTAAGAACAGTATCAATATTTGTCAAATAGTATTTTCCTAACTCCAACAATGTGGGGTTTATTATTCTACACATATTCCTAATGTCTCAGGTGTTCACATTCACGTAGATAGTGGTCAAGGCGGTGTCCGTCACTCTCATAACAGATTCTGCAACTTCGCTGATTAACTGTTGTTTCCATTCCGAATCTGTGTGGATATTTGTATCCAAGACGGATTCTCGCTATTACTGATTCTCTCCCTCGTCCTCCTCCTCTTCATCCATAATGATTGGGATTGCCAGCTGCAACCATGTTGTACCATCGTACAGATTCACTGGTTTGTGCTTCTATCCTCCTTTCCTCAGTTACCTTGTCATGGTGATGTTGCCTGACAATACCTCTAATTTGTAGCAGAGTGTTGGATATGAAGTATTCAATATGGTCTCCTTCAGCGCATTCAGCTGCCAGCACATCTGCTCGTTCATTTCCATAGATTCCAACATGGGAGGAGATCCACAGGAATGTGACGACTCTTCCCTGATTGGTAAGTACTCTCACAGCTCTCTTGATTTCAGCGACTATCGCCAGATTTTCTACCCGATTTTTACTTAGGCTTTGCAGTGCTGCTTTTGAATCAGTGCAGATCACTGCACCATTAGTGTTTCGTTCAAGGAATCTTAACGCCATAACAATGGCAGTTAGCTCTGCTTGCGTTGAAGAGGCAAGTTCTCAATACGTGCTTTATCTTTATCTTCATTTATCTTTGCGTTGGAAAGTATTATCCTTGATTACCGTGTATGCTGCACCAGCCCTGCCATTGACAGGATTAGATGACCCGTCAGAGTAGATTTGATCTAGTTCATCTCCGGCTTCTTTATAAATTTCCTCGAGATACTTGTGCCTGATTTCTTGTGGTATCATGTTGGATTTTTTCGTTGCCATTTCATTGATGATAATCCTGCATGAGTCATCCTCGCAGCTCAATAGAAAGTTGTGCCCAAAGCGGGCTACTGGCGCTTCATATACTACACATTGGCAAGATCGCGTGCATAGTTACAAAACTTACCAGCACAGGAGGATGGGTTGACCTGGGAGTAAGGCAACTGTTGTGGATTGCATCTTGGTGAAAGCTGGTCTCTTAGGTACCACGGTAAGCCCAACCGCTACCTGTTCCCGACTATGGGAAATACCTTCCCAAACAATAGCTATATGTATACCATGAGGTATACCCAGTTTCTCGGTGTTTATACATTGAGAGTATACTTTAGTCCTAGACTATGTATACTTTAGTCCTAGACTAGTGTCCTTGGTGGCTGGTCAGTCAACTATAGTCACCTCGCGTAGTTGATACGACAACCCGTCTATTGTGCCGTGTTGTACCTGGACTGTACCTGGATGGGGTTCTGAGAGTTCTTCTAATCCCCAAGTCCGGCCTCGAGAGTTTGGTCCACCAGGCTGTTGCTTGGAACGGCCCGCAGGCCCACATACCCACCACAGCCCGGTTGGTCCGGCACTCCTCAAAGAACTGCCACTCATATTAAAATGAGTTGACTGCACGATGTATATACAGATGAAAGAGTACAGCACTTCCTTCCACCCTGGCAGATAGTACCTTTTGACATCCTGACCCCTGCATACCCCACCAAGAAACTAATCACAAGCAACCCTCATGCTCAGCTTGCTGCTAAATTAAGCACCATAGAACACATTCACAATATACAAGCTGAAAACAACATTGCACAGACCATATACACTGACGGATCACTCAATACAGCTACAGGGAGGGCAGGAAGTGCTGTTATTGCTCATCAGCCCGATGGCAGCACAATTCAAAGAAATATCCGAATTAGTAACTGGGCGTCCACAATGCAAGCCGAGTTGGTAGCGATACTGGTAGCACTCGAAATTATTGACAACACTGAAGTAGACAGCTTAATTATTTCTGACTCCCTTTCCTCACTACGAGCAATAAACAGTTTGCAATCAAGTAATAATGTGCTTGTCTTGGAAGCTAGACGTAGATATATAAGAATACTTAGCAAGAGGGTAAATATAAAAATGTTGTGGATTCCTTCTCACATTGGCATGCAGGAACATGACAAAGTTGACGCCCTTGCTAAGGCTGCAGTAAATAAAGACAGTATTGGAATTTAGAGTTATCAAATAGGTCCCTTAAAAGTGTCA